TTGTTTTATTCCTGGAAAATGTTTTTCATTTTGCTGCAAATCTATATCTGACCCGCTGAGGAAATCATTTGGTGAAATGAATCCAGAAAGCAGAGAAAATGCTTCATTACTTTAAATAGCAGCATTAAGCCCATTATAGCCTCTAAATTGCCTCTTCCTTGAGTTTGCTATGCTTCCAACTTAGTCATTTGAAGCTCAAGAGTATAATTTTATATGACCTGCCAATGTCCTCATCTATGGCAGAATGTATAATTATTTGGTTTGGACCATATGTTACAAAAATTTAAAACGTTAAGATCCTTTATATATTTCATTATTGGTAAACCAATGTTGTGCTGTGTTTTGTGATATTTTATCATTTTCTAGGTTCTTCTGTGGATCTAATAGAATAAAGACTTCTTGAACCCAGTTTCAGAGAATCCTTATTTTTCTGTTCGAATAAAGGGGAATTAGGCAAAACACGGCTTTTCTTTTTACTTCCCTTCCTGAGATAAAAGAAGGAGGAGAAATCACCTGTGGGTATAATTGGAAACGTGGACTTATCCTGGCACTCCTTTTTTGTCTCGTTCTCTGATGCACAGGTCTGGCTAGTTAGGCTCTTAAAGTTAAAAGCTCAGCCAGTCCTTATTGTTTTGTTTGATTGAGATCTGTCTTTCTCATATGGTTTTCGGTTCTCCCAATTCTAATTTATTGACACGAGATTGCTTGGCCACAACCAGATATGGCTTGTTATTTGTAAGTTACCATGAAGAGGTTTATGTTCACTATCATTATTTCAGTACATCAAAAGTCCTTTCAGTTTCATTCTTTCATTTTGTGAGCAGGGCTAGTTGCTTGACTGAATTTGAGGCTCTCAGTTTAAAAATGTATGTTTTGGCTGGGTGTGGTGGCTCACGCCTGTAATCCCAGCACTTTGAGAGGCCAAAGCAGGTGGATTACTTGAAGTCAGGAGTTTGAGACCAGCCTGATCAACATGGTGAAATCCTGTGCCTACTAAAAATACAAAAATGAGCCTGGCATGGTGGCCGTGCGCCTGTAATCCCAGCTGCTTAGGAGGCTGAGGCAGGAGAATTGCTTGAACCTGGGAGGTGGAGGTTGCATTGAGCCAAGATCGTGCCACTGCATTCCAGCCTGGACAAGACTCCATCTCAAAAAAAAAGGTATTTTTTTTACTGTAGTTTAAGACTACTGTAAGATACAGTATAGTTGAATAAAAAGGGAATTTAAAGGGCTGGGTCTAGAATTAGCTTTGTCATCTGCTAATAATGGGACATTGGGCAAGTCAGTTATCCTGTCTGTACCTCAGTTTCTTCAGTGGAAAATAGAAACCATCATGCCTCCACATAATTTTTAAATCTAATGATTTTAAAATCTAATGCTGTTTCTAGGCAGCTGTCAGTGGTCTTTATGAAAGAAAAATCTGAGCTAGAAGAAAACACTGTTGTGGTTAAGAGTAGAGGCTTTGGAGTCAGACTGACCTGGCTTTAACTTTCGGCTTTGCTGCTTCCTAAGCTCTTTGTCCTTGGCAAGTGTCTTGCCTAATTACCTTTTCTTTTAATAGAAATAAAAGTTTTTCATGAGGTCTGTATGAGGATAAATAACCTAGTATGTATAAAGTACCTAGCACAGTCTGAGCCCATAGTAAATATTCAATGCATGGTAGTTTGAATGATGGTTGTCATGGTGATTATAAGAAAGTTCTAGAGTTTGGCTCAGTGGTTTTTGTTTTTGTTTTTGTTTTTCCTTTTTGAAACAGGGTCTCACTCTGTCACCCAGGCTGGAGTGCAGTGATGCAGTCACAGCTCACTACAGCGTCGAACTCCTAGGCTCAAGCAATTCTCCCACCTTCGCCTCCTGAGTAGCTAAGACCACAGGTATACATCACCATGCTCAGCCAATTTTTTTTTTTTTTTTTTTTTTTTTGGTAGAAATGAGGTCTTACTATGTTGCCCAGGCTAGTCTCAAACTCCTGGGCTCAGGGCATCTTCTTGCCTCAACCTCCAAAAGTGTTGGGATTACAGGCTTGAGCCACCATATCACACCTGGCCTCTGTGTCTCATAAACTAAGGAGAGAGAGATAGCTATGGGAACATAGTCATGGAGATAATTATCAGTTTCACTGTCTATACCTTGGCCTCCTAAAATCACTTGTTCCAAGCTCTGTTTTTGTTTTTTTTTTTTTTTTGTAAGAGCCCTGAGGTTAGTGATTCTCTCTGTCCCTCCTCTGAATTAGATAGCATTACCTTACCACTTCTGGGAGAGTTGTCAATGAGACTTCCCCCTACTTCTGAGTGCCTGTAGGGAAATTTGATTAAAAAATTTTTGTTAATCTAGAAAAGTGGGTAATATTTTAAAGCTTGGCCTTGTCTCTTGATGACCACAGGCTAATATTTCTGAGGATAAGGGGAACAAACAAGATGAAGAATAAAGGAAACTCTAATTTCTCTTCATTTTAACAACAGCACAACTAAAGATTTAGTAAAGCCAAACATCCTTGTAAAACTGGAACCTCCAGTTTTGCCTTCCCTGTTCCCTCCTGAGCCAAATAGATCAGGCTCTGTCTGAAGCAAATTGCATTTCCCCTCCCAAGTGAAGAGCCCTCATTCTAGCTTTATGGCCCTCTCTGACTTTCTGCAGAATCACTTATACAGTAATTCCCATTCCTTTGGGAATCCCCAAGGATTCCCAACAGGCTACAGCACTGTCAAGATGGTGAGCATAGGGTACTAGCATACAACAAGAATTCTCTATTTCATCAGGAAGACAATTTGTCTGCAGTTACTCTTCTAAAATCAGTATACATGGTCCTGCCATGTAAGAATTCATACCCCAGGCCAGGTGCAGTGGCTCACACCTGTAATCCCAGCACTTTGGGAAGCCGAGGTCAGCGGATCAAGACCATCCTGGTTAAGAGATTAAGACCATCCTGGCCAACATGGTGAAACCTGATTGCTATTAAAAAAAATACAAAAATTAGCTGGGCGTGGTGGCGCGCACCTGTAGTCCCAGCTACTCAGGAGGCTGAGGCAGGAGAAATCGCTTGAACCGGGGAGGCGGAGGTTGCAGTGAGGGGAGATCGCACCACTGCGCTCTAGCCTGGTGATAGCAAGACAAAGTCTCAAAAAGTTCATACCCCAGCTGTTGGCTTTAAGAGCAGCAATCAGGCTGGGTGTGGTGGCTCACACCTGTAATCCCACTACTTTGGGAGGCTGAGACAGGCAGATCACCTGAGGACAGCAGTTTGAGACCAGCCTGGCCAACATGGTAAAACCCCGTCTCTACTAAAAATGCAAAAATTAGCCGAGTGTGGTGGCGGGCGCTTGTAGTCCCAGCTACTTGGGAGGCTGAGGCAGGGGAATCGCTTGAACCCAGGAGACAGAGGTTGCAGTGAGCTGAGACCGCACCACTGCACTCCAAACTGGGCAACAGAGCAAGACTCCATCTCAAAAAAACAAAAAGGGAAATAAAACAGGAATCTGAAAGTCTTGAGGTTTCAAAAGTAAAGTTAAAGGTAGCCTTAATTTGGCAGAAGGCCCTGCAGAATGGTGCCAGGGGATTCCCACCATAATATTCAGGTTACCCTTTTGAAATAAAGCACTGTTCATGACAGATTTAGTTGAAGGTCAGACAGTGGGGATCCTAAACATCTATTCCACATTCACTCTCAGATGATGCAAGTGCTTAGAAAACAGATAAGCAGAGTGATTAAAGGAAAAACATTTTCCCTTCAGCCCTGGGATTCTCAAGCAGTGTGTCCAGTTTGGAAAACTGTCCCTTCAGGGCTTCAATAAATAGAAGTGAAAGTATTCCATCTAGTGGTCAAAGAAGGGAATGTGAAATGAGAAGTTTCCAGGATGAGGTCTGTGGGGCCTCTCAGCAGGTATCTCCTCCAGAACAAGGTAGAACCTGGTGGTGGTAGTGTTTGGATTGTCTGCACTGAATGAGGAACTGGGGATAGCATCCTTGCATGGCTCTGAGCAAAACTGTCCTCACAGTAAGGAACAATGATGTTGCAAATGGCAGATTATAAACAGTTTGACTCTGAAGGGAGTCTCTCTCTTAGCCCCATTCCCCCTTCCTTCTTATGGAGGAAGAAAGGAGTCCTATCATTCCTGCCTCTATTTGTCTCGGGCCTGAATTTGTGAATATATGAGTTTGAGAAGAATGAGGGTGTGATGTGAACTTTATTTATTTTGAGATGGAGTCTCCCTCTCTTGCCCAGGCTGGAGTGCAGTGGTGCCATGTCAGCTCACTGCAGCCTTCACCTCCCAGGTTCAGACGATTCTCCCACCTCAGCCTCCTGAGTAGCTGGGATTACAGGCGTGTGCCACCATGCCCGGCTAAGTTTTTGTATTTTTAGTAGAGATGGGGTTTCACCATGTTGGCCAGGCTGGTCTCAAACTCATGAGTTCAAGTGATCTGCCTGCCTCAGCTTCCCAAAGTGTTGGGATTACAGGTGGCAGCCACTGCACCTGGCCCATGAACTTTAAAAAGGAGGGAGAGTCAGTCTAGCAAAGGATCAAAAACAAGATGATCAGGAAAAAAAGTGCTCTTTGTGTTCTCAGTAATTGCACCCTCTATGCCTTTGCTATCGGTAAACATTAACTAAACTGACTTCCCAGGAATTTCCCAAGGCCCAAGTCAGATCTAGTTGGCCCAGTACCCACAGTGCTATTGATGTCTTCCAGACTGTAATTCTCCTAACGGCCTCCCAGTATCCTCAACCAAAGGGCTCATTTTTCCCACCTATCTCCCATTATCACTTTTCTCTTTTTCCCCAGTTCTGAAAAAGAGCTGTATGTAAAGCAATAATACAATTCACATTTCCCATAACTCCACTGCCACTGCAGACCTTGACCAGAGCCTACTTTCCAGTCAGTAATTAGGGCATCGCTTGACCCATCAGAGCCTCCCCCTCCCAAAGCTTTGGGTGCTAGCCACTCCTCTATCCATCCCACCTGCAGTTTGTACTTCTGTCAAAGAAGAAGACACACACAAGCTGGCCGTGTTTCCACATCTGCCCTTTATTGGTCTCTTCTAGCAGGGTGGCTCCAGGCCCTTCACGCCTCTCAGACACCACCCATGAAGGTTTAGGACGGTGCCATCATTCTGTGAAGGCCCAGAGCTTACCCAAGCCTTGAAGCCCTAGTTGAATCACCAACCAGAGGGTTGGAAGAGGAAAAGGAAACGGGCAGAGGGAAAAGGCAAGGCTCTTCAGTGAAGGGGACTGATAGCAAGGGAATGCTGAGGTCCAGCAGAGTCTCCTGAGGGCATGCTGAATCCTAAGGCTCCTGGATGGAGTTGGAGAACTGTGTGCTGAGCAGCTCACATCTATATGGCAACTTTAAGGAGGCGCTTGATGTCAGGCTCGATGCTGATGGTTGGGAAGGTGCGGCTGTAGCGTCGGAAGGGCTCTCCCTCCGGCCCTATGAGGAACTTCTCAAAGTTCCAGGCCACATCTGAGCGGCGCACGGGGCTCCAAATGATGAACTTGGGATCGGTCATGAGGGAAAAGGGGTCATCATAAGGGTAGGGGAGCTTGTCCTTCAGATAGGCGAAGACAGGATGCTCGTTCTGCCCATTCACCTCACATTTTTGGACAAGGGTGAAGGTGGGCTGGTATCCACCCCCAGGGCGGACATACTTGAGACTGTTCAGGATCTCCTCATTCTGACAGTTCTCCTAGGGGAGGAAAAAGACAGAGTGTGGACAAGGGAAGGGGGAAAAGAAGTATCCACAACATGAAACTCTTTCACCCTCCTTCACTCCCTTCACAGGATCATTCTTTTTCACTGTGAGGAGAGAGACAGACAGACAAGGTGTGTCTGTCTTGTCTTGAACTTCTGGGCTCAAGTATTCCTCCTGTCTCAGCCTCTTTAGCTGGGACTGCAGACACAGGCCACCATGCCCAGATAATTTTTTTTTTTTTTTTGTAGAGATGGGGTCTCACTTTGTTGCCCACGCTTTGGCTGCTCTTAAAGATTTAGCACTTCTGAGCTGTTGCTTTTGTCTCCAGTCTACCCTGAGCAGTTCTTAAAGTGTTTGAAGCAGAAGAAAGAGAAAAGAGGCTTAGGTTATACTGCTTAGAACCTCCTCTTCAACTAACCTACCGACCTACCTACCCACAAGTCCACACCTACACACACACCCCTTCCCTTTCCCTCTGCCCTGGGTTTTGCCTTGCCTGCTTTCAATTGCACGTGTGTTGAGTATAGCCTTTGCTTCTGCCTACTCAGCTACCTGAACTGAGGGTGAAATGGAGGCCCAGAGGATGGGATTTGCAGCTTCTTGCTTGCTTCTTGCCTTGTCCTAGAACTGAAGTACAAATGGGAAGAAGTGAAGGAAGACCGCATCGAAGAACATGTAGTTTTCAGATGCCGTAACAGCAGAGCAAGTCAAAGGCCACAATGAATGTGTACTCTAAATAGAACTACTTAGTAAGCAACAGGAGTGAACTAAATAGGATACAGGATTTAGGGTTCGGGAATAGGCTGGGGGAGGGGAAGTTGAGGAAGTAAGTGCTTGATGGCTAAAGGTGGCATGTAATTCTCATTCTTTTCATGACTAGGCTACTACCCAAAGACTGCTGCACCTCATATTCACTCACTACTCAGCTACTAATGCTTTGGCTCAAAACCTGGTCCCTGTCTTTCCCTCCCCACTGCCATCCCTGTCCTATTCTCTCTCAGCATTCCCACTCATGACACCCCGAAAAGCCATGGGAACCCTTCTTTTCCCCTCTGCCTTTCCACTATAAGATTCAGATACCTTCCTCTGGGAGAAAGTTCCTGCTTCTGACCTGTGAGGACTAACTAGTTCAGGCCATCACGACATCATGAGCCCAGAGCTGCTCTCTAGTACACTTCTCTGTTTTTGTTTTTGTTTTTGCTTTTCCTGAAACAGGGCCTTACTCTGTCTAGGCTGGGGTGCGGTGGCAAAATCCGCTCACTGCAGCCTTGACTTCCCAGGCTCAAGCTCTCCTCCCACTTCAGCCTCCTAAGTAGCTGAGACTGCAGGCAAATGCCACCACGCCTGGCTAATTTTTGCATTTTTTTGTAGAAACGAAGTTTCACTATGTTGCTGAGGCTAATCTTTTTTTTTTTTCTTTTTCTCAATTTTTTTATTGCATTTTAGGTTTTGGGGTACATGTGAAGAACATGCAAGATTGTTGCAGTAGGTACACACGTGGCAGTGTGATGTGCTGCCTTCCTCCCCATCACCTATATTTGGCATTTCTCCCCATGCTGTCTCTCCCCAACTCCCCACCCCCTGCTGTCCCTCACCTAGTTGCCCCCTACAGACCCCAGTGTGTAATGCTCCCCTCCCTGTGTCCATGTGTTCTCATTGTTCAACACCCGCCTATAGGTGAGAACATGCAGTGTTTGATTTTCTGTTCTTGTGTCAGTTTGCTGAGAAGGATGGTTTCCAGGTTTATCCATGTCCCTACAAAGGACATGAACTCATCGTTTTTGACGGCTGCATAGTAGTCCAGTCCAGGCTAATCTTTTACTCCTGGCCTCAAGCAGTCTGCCCACCTTAGCCTCCCAAAGTGCTGGAATTACACATGTGAGCCACTACACCCTGGCAGATTTCTATTTCTGGATGCAAATAGCTGGCTGGCTCCTGGTAGTTATAGACTCCCTCCAGCAACTTGCTAGGCTGAAGTGATAGTGTGAGGTAGGAGGTATTTCTAGGGCCAGAGGGACATCGGGTGAGGCTGGAGGTACTTCTAGGGACAGAGGGACATCTCAAAAGAGGGTTTGCCATTTCTGTCTCTCCTGCTCTGGAAAAGGCCAGGACAGAAAACTTAGGGAAGAACAGTGAGACCAGGGAACAGTTTGGGTTCAGGTTTGTCACAGTCAGTGATGCTTCAACCTTCCTGCTTATGTCTTTTCCTTGCCTTCATACCCCTGTGAATTGACTAAGGGGATTATAATGAGAGGCTTCACTTGAGTTTATTCTGCCTGCTTGTACATTAAAATCATAAGTGGAGGCCGGGTGCAGTGGCCCATGCCTGTAATCCCAGCAGTTTGGGAGGCCGAGGTGAGCAAATCATGAAGTCAAGAGATTGAGACCATCCTGTCTCTACTAAAAATACAAAAATTAGCTGGGCTTGATGGCACGCGCCTGTAGTCCCAGCTACTCGGTAGGCTGAGGCAGAATTGCTTGAATCCAGGAGGCAGAGGTTGCAGTAAGCCGAGATTGTGCCACTGCACTCCAGCCTGGTGATAGAGAAAGATTCCATTTAAAAAAAAAAAAAATCAGACCGGGCACAGTGGCTTATCCTTGTAATCCCAGCACTTTGGGAGGGCGAGGCAGGCAGATCACAAAGTCAGGAGTTGAAGACCAGCCTGTCCAATATGGTGAGACCCCATTTCTACTGAAAAATACAAAAATTAGCCAGGCATGGTGGCACATGCTTGTAGTCCCAGCTACTTAGGAGGCTGAGGCAGGAGAATTGCTTGAACCTGGGAGGCGGAGGTTGCGGCGAGCCAAGATTGTGCTGCTGCACTCCAGCCTGGGCAAGAGTGAGACTCCATCTCAAAAAGGAAAATCATAAGTGAAAATAGAAGAATCCCTAAAAGAGAACTTGAGGTGTGTGGACCAAAGATCTATAACAACTTGACCCATTAATCAGAAATAGAGGTGACTGTGATGCCCAGAGGAGGCCCATGCATGTTGCAAACCTCTCTTTCCTGCTTGTTCTCTTCCCACTTAGCTAATTTCAACCAACAAAAATAATCTTCAATCTAAATAATCAGTTTGCTTGCATTTGCATAGTACTTTATATTTTTCAAGTTACTTTTGTATATTCTGTCCCTTAAACACCATAACAATCCTATGAGCTAAGTGGCATTATCCCCAGTTTACAGATGAGGAAACTAAACCGAAAAATCAGGCACACTTTGTGAGGGCACAGAGCCATTAAATAGCAAAACCAAGTCCAGCTAGAGCTAAGGTCTCTTGAGTCTGTCCAGTGCTTGTTTGATTCTTGGCCTCTATTTCCTCCACTCATTTATTCAACAAATATTTAATGAGTGCTTTCTGTGCCCTAGGCACTGAGGACACAGTGGAGAGAAACACAGACCTGGTTCTAGCCCTCATGGAGTAATATAGTAAGAAGACAATAAAAGATAAAAACCACACAGCCTCAGCGTTTCATCTTAAAAAATATATACCTCCCCTTAGTATGTCACGTGCACCTAAAGAAGTAGCTTAACAAAATATACCCCATGATTCCAGACACTCCAACACACAGTCATTCAGCCTCTCCCTTTATCCCCCTTGAGCTACACCGATTCAACACCTTTGGTGCATTACAAGGAGGGACCCCTCACCTGATGTCCAAATTGGTTGCAAGGGAAGCCAAGGACCACCAGGCGCCGGGGAAAGCGGCATTGCAGCTCGTTGAGCTGGGTGAAGTCCCGGGTGGTTGTGCCTCACAGCGAAGCCACATTCTCAATCAGCACGGCCCTGCCCCGGAATGTATTGAAATCTACCTTCTCCCCATCCAGGCTGATGGCACTGAGGTCGTAGAAGGACTTGGCAATGAAGGCCATGGTGAAGCGCAGAGTGAGACCCGCAGAGGGGCCTGAGCCCACTTATGAATCTATCCGAGGGGTGGGGAGGAAGGAGGAGCCGAGGAGGACAGAAAGGATCTAACAAGGGAGCTTTGAGCGTCCCCAGGATGACTTAGCAAAAACAGGCCCCACCTGTAAGTACTGTTTGAACAAGGGGGTTGCTCCTCCTATTAACAGACTGAACAAAGCCGCCTCCCCGCCCCACCCTGCTGCAACCTGGGAAGAGCAAATATGATACCTTTGAACAGATGTGAATAATTCACTACTTACAGGAAACCAGAGCCCAAAAGGTCGAATGGGGAGGGGAAAAAAGGGAAGGAGAGATGCAGGATTGACTCCTACCTGCTCCAACAAGTTGGTCTCACTCGACACAGACATTTATTGAATGCCTGCCGAGTGTCAATCTCTGAATTTTAAGTAAGAGGGCAGGGTCTGCGGAAATCTGAAAGACAAGAGGAGAATTGAGGCTCCTGCCCACCTGACTCAGAGGACAACTGAAATATACACATTTCTGTTCATGTTCTCTTTGTTGCTTTCCTCCAGGACAAAATCAAAGGGACCCTTAGGAGGAGAGTGTGTCATATTCTAGGGGGAAAAAATGGCTCTGAGTGCCCCAGCTTTTGCCAGGCCGAGATGACAAAGTTGTGTTTATCTTGAAAAGTCAGTGCGTGGTGCCACTTGTCCTGGAGAACACACCTGCCCCTGCCCCTGCCCCCGCACTGTACCATCTCCTATATTATATCCTCCACCTCCACCTGACCCCAGTCCCCAAGTCGTGAGGATCAGTCCTTGCTTGGAGAATGGTGAAGAGGAGTCACAGAACAGGTGGGTAAACTTAGTGGATGAACTGCACCTCCCTCCCTCTCAGACAGAGGTTCGGTCCCCAAGACTTTTCAGAGTAGCTTGTGCTGGTCACCTTCCCACAGAAGAAAGTGTGGAGGGAGTCGAAGTTGCTGTGGTTCCAGACGCAGACAGGCCACCCTGATGCTTTCAACAGGACCCATACAGTACATCGCAGGATGTCTGCTAAGGGCCATCTCAGAGGCCCACCCCTGGAAGCCACAGAAACTGAAAAGACCCTAAGCCACTTCATTCTTCCAAGCACCCACCAACTCAACAAGTTACTTTTTAAAAAATGCCTTGATTTCTTCATCAGCAAAACCAGCAATGGAGCTTGACCTAGCTTTGAGATTTTAGAGTGAAATTTCAATAACAAAGCAAATGTTTACTAGAGTGTTTTCACAGGGGCACATCCATTGGGAACTGTCTGCTTGAACAAAGAATAAGCAAGTCTGGGGAGCAGCTGGTCTTGAGAATCTGATTTGTTGAGATAAGATGAAGGAGGTACTCACCAGGGAGCGTGGAACTGCCTTGCAGCTTTTCCATGGCTGTTCAAGTACACAGGGACCATGTGTCTCAGCTGGCTCCTCCCTAAAAACAATTTTCCATTACTTAAGTGGGTAGAAGGAGTGACAGGAAGCATAGGGTGAAGTGTGTCCCCTGCTGAAGCTGGGTGGAGTTCCTAGAGGCAACCAATGAGTCCCCACCAAGCCACTGAATTGCAAGTCCAAGGCAGTGACAGTGGGCAAAACTTTAACTTGCCAGGTTTATGTGGATACCTAGAGCTTCCCCCTAGCACTCTTTGGGCCTCCAGAGACACCTCTTATTCTCGGCTCTTTTGCAAGCCTTATTCAAGAAGGTCATAGAAGTTCCTGAGCTGAGGAGTGTGGGAGTTCCCTCTTCCTTGGGTACATGCCATCCATTTTCTCCTGGTGTGACCTTGGACCCTTCAAAATCTCCTGGGGTTTTCACCTTTCCTGACGGAATACACTTGATGAGGCTCTCCTAAAATACCTTTGTCTCCAAGTTTCCCTCAAACTGGCCTCGCGGCCAAAAGCTTACAACTTCTGGCCTACACTAGGCAGCGTGTGATTCTTGTGGCTTTCTGCGGGACAGTGCTTACTCTGGACACAGCACTGGCTTAGGCAGAAGGCCTATGTCGGTGGTTCTCAACTCTGACTGCAAATGAGAATTGTTTATAGGGACTTTCCTGGAGATGCCAAAGCTTTGCCCTCCAGTGATTCCAATTCAGTGGTTTCTAGCCACAATTATGCCGCTGTTACTTGACCGTTAGGTAAATCTTTAAGCTCTTTTTATTGACAGGGTCTCTCTCTGTCACCCAGGCTGCAGTGGTGCAGCTGGGGCCTCAACCTTCTGGGCTCAAGTGATCCACTGGCCTCAACCTCACAAGCCACCACACTCAATTTTTTTCTAGAGACAAGGTGTCACTGTGTTGCTCGGGCTGGTCCCAAACTCCTGGGCTCAAGCCGTCCTCCTGCCCCAGCCTCCCAGGGTGTTGGGATTATAGGCATGAGCCACTGCACCTGGCCAAATCTTTAAGTTCTCTGAGCACCTGCTTCCTTGCCTGTGGGACATGGATAAGTAACCACACTCCCCATCTCACACAGTGATGGTTAGGGTCAGAAGAGTTGATCTATCACCAGTGCTCTGTAAGTGTAGTGAAGATCTTAAGACTACTGTTACCCTCCATTGTCCTAATCCTTTCTTCATTCAATCCTTATCCCCAATATTCTCCACCTCCATCAACTCCATATCCCAAAGTATGAAATACCTGCACCGTCCTAAGATCCCAGACTGCCTCTGCTCCCCCGAGGCATCCAATCACAAACCTGAAAGATTATCCAGTCCCTCCTCAGAGCCTTCAGGAAGACCCGTTCCAGATCTACCCAAACAGATGAGACCCATTTGACTTTAAAACCTGCTCAGACACAGACGTTTGGCATCCTCTCCATAGCAGTGTTTCCATCTTATTTCTGAAGCACGAGCTCAATGCAGGGCAATGGGGCTTTGCTTTGGGCCTCCCTGCAGGTGGCGCTAGGGAAGGTACAGAAGGGAAGACAATGTTTGCTGCTTCCATGGCCACTCTACTGCAGTTGCCTTGCTTCTGAAGCTGCTTCCACCAGCACTGCCTTTCTCCCTCCCATATCACTGCCAGGGTCTGATATCACCAGATATATATCCAGGCGGCCACACCTGTGGTTTGAAATAGTCTTTATTTTGTAAACATCTGTGTTTAAAATAGATGAACCCTGCTCACAATTCATATATGGACCCAAGACACAGTACACGAAGTTCACCCGTCACAGGGAGATAGTGGGGGCTCAGGAGCAAGTGGTGTGCCTGGGGCTGGGTGGAGTCTCAAGACAGCAGGTGCAGAGGTGGTGACGAGTAAACAGGCCAGCAAAGCCTGCTCAACAGTCTGGGCCTCAAGACAGGCCCCAGGCCACCAGAAGTTTAAGGTGAGCATGGCTGCACCCTAAAATCCGAATTCTCCTTCTGCTCCCATAACTTTTCCCAGCCATGGCCCTGTGGATAGGGCTTATCAGTCTATAGAATCCGATTCCATGTTTTCCCTCCCAGAACCCCTAGGGTACAGTACAAATATAGTCCTTTCCTGAGGGGGCTAGGAGAGACAATGAATGGCACCCTGCCTGATCTTCAGGGAAAGCCGCAATACTGGCCCACAGGTTGGAGCCACTGCCCAATATAACTTCTTAAGTCCCTGGCTGAAAGCAGACTGAGGGCTGACATCACCCACCTCCCTAGTCCCAGTGTGATGTGGCGTAGGTCTTGATACGCAAGGAGTCCATCCTCAAGGAAGCAACTCCAGCCATAGTCACAGCTTCCTCCTAGAGTCAGCTCTGTTTCTCATTAGCCAGGGATTTATAACGTCTGCTCTCCTTTGCTTTCCACTATCTAATCTATACCCTGTCCCTAAGTCCTGAGCCACATTCTCCTGCAGTTTCCTGGTTTGGTGGTGCTATCCCCACCCCTTTTTGGAGGAATAAGGAAGTGGGGTTCTTATCCTTCATGTGTGTGTGTCCTTAGTTGATAAATGCTCAGTACCTAGTTCTTTGTTTTGGTGGCAGCCACAAAATGCAGCTAATGTGTGTCTTAAGAACGACCCTCTTCCTAGGCCTTGCCCACCTCGGGAAGGTGGGGAGGAACCCCAGTAGGGCTGGTAAATTACTTGTTCCTTCTTTAAAGGGCCTCTGCAAGCTACTCTTGGGCCATATGGGGTTAAAGAAACTTCCTGAACATAGCACTCTGGGGGAGGGAGTCCTCTTCCCTCCACCTGTAGCCACAGTGCGGTTGGCAAACCCTCAAGCCTGTCAGGAGCTAGAGGGCAAGATGAGTGCTTCGTCTTGAAGGCTGAAAAGAACAGCACCAAGCGTTTCTACCCAGGGCCTTCCTTCTCTCTTCCTATGAAGGCTTCACCCTTCTCCCATAAACTCTGGGTCCCAGGAGAAGCTTGATTGCTGAAGGCTGGGCTCAGTCCTCTGCCTGGGAGTCTGAGGAAACAAACGCTCTTCTTACCTAAGAAATGTGAGAGGGGGCCCAGAGGCCCTGCTGCTGCTACATTCCCCTCTGCCGTGCAAACTGCTGTCCCTGGCCAGCTCTTCCTTGCTCTTAACCTGACACATAGGAGCTAGTCCTTCATTTCCAAATGCTCTCCTTTCTGGCATGCATGGTTGGCCTGACAGTGTCACTGACCCCAGGACTCTTCTTGCCCCTGGAGTACCCGTAGGCCTTGGTCCACACCTTTAAATTCAGGAGCCAGGTGGAGAGAAATTGTGTTCATGCTGCATGGGAGGTAGAGAATGGAGGTGACTTTTTATCCCTGCCACCCCTCATTTTGTTTCCTTCTGTGAAGCACCTGCCTCTGAGCTCAGTTCCCCAAAGAGGCAGGCGGGCAGCCAAGCAAGGGCAAAGCTCTGGCAGGGGAGCGGGAGGAGGTAGGGCGGCCCCAGGCTCAAGGACTTCCCGCTTGCCAATTCCTTCCTGTCTCGATGCTCCACTCTCTCAGGGCCCTGGGGAGGCAGGCCCATGGCACATGAGGAACAGTGCAGAGTGGAGGAGGAAGCAGCACCCTGTAGCCTTTGGCCCACCCATGAGGCAGGGTGGGGGGTTCTTCCTGGATCCAAGGGTGGAACCGCCCCATGAGCCTGGGTCCATCCCCTCAGACAGATTGGGAAGGAAGGAAAGAGCGAGCTGCAGCAGCTGCCACACAGCAAGACACATGGGGAGGGGGGTGAGGGGCTTTCATAGGAAACGCACTGGAGGGGAGGGGTCAGAGAGAGAGAAGTCAGGGGAGAGAGGAGAAGCAGAGAGGAGACACGATGTGCAGAGAAAGGAGAGCAGAAAGTGGCCTGGCCTCCAGCCTCAGCTGTTGTCTGGGGGTGCGGGGTGGTGAGCCGGTGCTTGCGGCATGTGGTGGGGTCGTAGCAGGCCTTGGCTGGGGAAACAGGCTGAAGACCACTCCAGGGTGGACAGGCTGGGGGCAGGGGCTGCTTGAGATGACAGCAGAGCCGCTCTTAGGGCCAGGCAGGGGGAATAGCGGCTACTGATACTCAGCAGGGTCATCACACGAGAGGACAGTGGCAGAGCAAAGCCCCGGCTCCCCTGTCTGCCCACAGGCCTCCTGAGGGAAGAGGGGTGTCGTGTGGGGTGCCCCACACAGGACTCTCAGCACCAGCAGCTTTTCGAAGAGTTCACTGGGCCCTCAGGTTTGCCCTCCTCCTCCTCCAGCTCTGCCAATGCCAACTCATTGCTGGCACGTGTCCGGAGGCCTTCCAGCTCCTTCCTGTGGGCCTGCAGCACCAGCTCCGTCAGACGCGTGAACGACTAGAAACCAAAGGGCACAGGTTAGTCCAGCGTCTCTTCCTCTCCCCTGGCAACCCTGCAGCTGCCCAAGGGGTAAGGCCTCTCTTCTGGCTCCTCCTCCCGCCTCTGCTGGACTCAGCCCGAGACAGCGGGTGCCTGGTTGCCAGGCTCTCACCTCTTTAATGTTGAGGTTGGTGCAGGCACTTGTTTCGTAGAAGTCCATGCCATACTCCTTCGCCAGCTGCAAGAGAAGGACATTTCTGAAAGAGAATCAGTAAGGCAAGGGAGGGGCCCACATAACCAGGCACAGACTTCTATGCTGTTGCGATGATTGCTCAGAAGAGATAATTTCTCAGATGGGACTGGGAGCTCCAGGACTGGTAGCAGCCAATGAGGGAAGATCCTCCACTCATACACCTCTCCGTTCTTCCAGCTGCCACCCCACACCTCCCAATGCACAATCATACATCAGGAGACAAAGACACCATACACTGTGGCAGGTGGCATCCTCATAAAAAACATGGGCTCTGGAGTCCCACAGCCCCAGACCTGAATACCAGCACTGCCACTAACGGCTAGCTGTGCAACCTTGGGGAAGTTGTTCATTCTCTGTAAGCCCCAGCTTCGTCT